TAACAAGAGAGTGAAACTAGTACCTCTATCGGAATAGAAGTAAAACATGGAAAAGTTATTCCAATATGTCGGACACAATGGGTGCGTTCAACAGACATATATAACTAGACCCAGCACAAGATCTATAGAGAGAAGGTTACCTCAGGAAAACCGGTTGTGGGCGAGGGACAATGAAATAAGGGGGGAGCTAGAAACAGCTTGATGGCGAGGGGCGATGAAGGAAGGGAAGAGCATGATGATCTCATCGACAAACAGTAGCTGTCTCTCTCTTTCAAAGTTCTTCCTTTTCTAACTGTTTCTAAGGCCCGTTCTACAATAAGTTGCAAATACTCCGTCGCCAGTCGCGAATGCTCCGTCTTACTAAAAATAACTAGAAATAGCGCTTTCCAATTAGTAGTTGCCATCCTTCGCGACCGGTGACGGGGCATTTGCAACTTATTGTAGAACCAGCTTAAGGGTGAAATCAGATGATACGGAAAAGAGCTGCGGAACGGAGAGTGCGTCATTGAGACAGCCAATCACAGCTATTGCGTACGATTGTATTCCGCAAGTGATTGACTGTCTCAGTGACGCACTCTCCGTTCCGCAGCTCTTTTCCGTATCATCTGATTTCACCCTTACTTGCCGATTGCCAGTCAACTTTAACTGCCGACTCTCAGTCGACTTCAGGTCGGCTTTTAGTCAATTTTACGTCGGTTCTAATTATTACTGATTTTTCATTGAATATATTGACATCTCAGCTAAAACACAAAATGTAAATGTTACCAAGTAGTAAAATAATTATTTTTTTATTTAATTAGTTGACCATTTGGTGTTTTTGACATTTTGTGTTTTAGCTGGGATGTCAATATATTCAATGAAAATTCAATAATAATTACAGCCGACATAAAATTGATTAAAAGCCGACTTCAAGTTGACTAATAGTCGGCATGGGGATATACTCGGAAACACATGAAATTCACACCCAACGGAATCGAATAAGAATTAAGAATAATGGCATCAAGAGCGAGGAGTATATAGGTTACAGATTGCAGGACTGCAGTAGTTGGCATCAAGTCGACTATGACAGTCGGCAGATAGTTGACTGGAAAAAGTCAATTTACAGTCGACAAATAGTCACTAATGTTGCTTGGGAGTGAGACACTTTGTATAATTATTATTTTTACAAATAATTTAGGGATGCGGAATTATTCAACAATAACAACTTTGATATAAGTTTCGTGAGTCAGTATTGGCCATTGCGCTGTTGTCATTATGCAATAACGGCAATCAGTATGCGCAACTGGATCCCTTTAATATATCCAGAAGTAGGAATTCCCGGTGAAGATGTAGAATTGTAAGTTTTGCAATTTAATATTTTATTATTTGTCAAATTTAAACGTTTTATTAACATTACTCAAATTATGTAGCGATATTGAATGGGTAAATCCTAATGTGGCAAAGAACGAACAACAGAAGCAAGCTGTAAAGAAGATTTTAAATAAGACTGCGCACCCAGCGCCTTATATAATTTTCGGTCCGCCTGGCACAGGAAAAACTGCGACATTAGTCGAAACAATATGTCAGGTAATTTTTGTATCAGAGCCCTTATTTAGCAAAGTAACTTATTTCATTCTCTTTTTGATATCATATCCTGCTATTATATGATATATCCCAGTTAACAGGCACACGTCAAAATGACGTCAAAATGACGTCAAAATGACGTCAAAATTTGGTCAGAAAATGACCAATGTAATGATGTTAAAATGACGGGAAAATGACGTACTAATGTCACGGACCGATGACAACATTTTAAGACGTTAAAAAGACGTAACTTTATGACTATTTTGGATCTTTGAATGATATTTTAATGACGCATAGGTTATATTTTACATAAAAATAAAAACCAAAATTGCATACAAAATTATTGTTTTATTATAAATGAAAATTATTATATAATGTATACATTTTTATTAAGTACTAAAATCATATAAAAACGTACATGACTATCACGTACCTTTTGCCGCAAACGTTTCCGCGTTTTATATGCAAAAGTCATTATTTTTATCACTTGGATTGAAATGCAAACTAATGTTTAATTCAAAATTTAAAAATAAAACTATGAATATAAATATTAATTTTTTAATAATTTAAAAATTTATCAGAATTTAAATTAATTTATAACTAAAAAATAGTAATACAATATTTGTATTTATATATATAGATTATTTATTCATAAAGTAATTTTTTATAAATATATATTTATGAAAACTTACTTTAATAATACAACTTTGTTTGTAGTGTTTTGTAACAATTATTAATGTTTTTATATTTTCAATTATCTTACAAATATTAATTTATAAAAATGACTAAAAAATCACGATATTATGACGTTTCTAGAGAACATAATTAAGACATCACAAAAAAAACGTTTTATACATTATATACGATTATTTTTGGTCATCTGACGTCACTTGACCAGTAATCATCAGTTTTTTACATCATTTTGACATCATCTTGTTTGCTTCTTTTATCTTCTTTTCTTTCTATCTTTGATTCATTGTTTAATAGATTATAAGGCAACACCCAACGGAGAATATATTGGTGTGCACCACATCCAATGCAGCGGCTGATGAAATCACTACAAGATTAATTGGAAAAGTTCCAAAAAATATATTGTGCCGAATATACGCTCCATCTAGATCAAGGTAAAAGATTTACTCTTTTGTTATTATTTTTTACAGAAATTATTATTGTACAAATGGAAGATCTGTGTCCTTACGGCATGTGATATTTTATTTACATTAATCAGTTTGATTCTTGCGACATAAAAAGCAGTAGATTTATATACGTAAACATATCATAAAGTTAATTTTTGTTTGTTACAACAGGGAGAAAGTAGATAAACTAATTCAACCGTATGCAACTTTTGCTGATGGAAAAACTATTTCTTTGACGATGGAGCTGCTATGCAAAAAGATAATCATTACAACATTAGTTACATCTTTAAGGTATGTATACATATCTTTATTACTTCAGCTTTTACCAAGAAAGGGACTTGATTTACAATTCAATCTTATCACACTTATTCTCATCCATACTTTTAAAATTATAATCTCTTACAGTCTTTCATTCCTTATCTTACATTCCTTATCTACATTTTCTGCTATTTTTTTTACATTTCACCTACATATAATCATATTTCTTCTATTTATCTCACAGCCATTCTACACGCAGTTTATTCGCTTAGTTCTTGATCCCTATCTTTTCTATGTATTTTGGCTGTTTCATTTTCTTATGTATAATATTCGAGATGTGCTTGTAGAAAAGATAGAATAGATTTTTACATAAATAAAATAAATTAGTTATGTCTCGTATAAAATTATAATTGACCATTGTCCAAACACATGTAAAAGATATTTTATAATTAAAATATCACTAATTTAATAGTATTAGTGGCTCTTTTTATTATTCAATAATTAAAAATTATTTGAAGCTGCAAGAGCCTGAGCCAAATAATCATGCTGTTTTTTATTTTACATTAACGTAATGTTTACAATCACTCCACAGACGTTTCGGCCATACGGGTTGTAGCCATCTTCAACGTGTTAATAACAATTTATTAAATTATGCCTATAACTATAATCGCATCTGTATTTTTCTAAATTTCCGCAATTCGTGTTTCAACTGAGACTTATTACATACGCTGTTTTTTGGTGATCCACGTTATTTTCTTCTGTTAAGAATCCTTAATCCAATGATTTCAAATTATGCATTTCTCTGTTCTTTCCGATAGTAGTTCATAGTTAAAGAATCATATATCTCTAGATCTTAGGCCGCGAATTCTCACTGAGCGCGTCACGCGTCGCGTTATCCGCCGCGTCACGAATTAACCAATCAAAACATCCCATTTTATTGCATCATTTGCCGCGCGAATAAAATGGGATGTTTTGATTGGTTAATTCATGACGCGACGGATGACGCCGAGGCGTGACGCGCTCAGTGGAAATTCAGCCTTAGGCGTTGACCTAGTAACGTTGACCGTTAATTATCTTACATTAATTCATTATAATTGTATTAGATTCATTTATTTACAAACCAACGTACATCAATGCAATATTATAGTGTTAAAAACGTCATATTTGTAAAATTAATATTAATGGGTGTCATCCTGTCTCTTTGAATAAGTAAAAGTCGTTAGATAAAATTGTAGTTTTGAAAATACCACTGAACTAGTCATTGGCATAGGACTGGATAGACTATGCGTAAAAACAAACAAGGTTCAATGAGAGACATAAGTGGGGAAGAAGGAACTTATAGGAGTAGAAGTTAATACTTGTGGGAGGAAAAATTAAGGAGAGGGTTATTATAATACATAAATTGTATTAAGTAGGAAACATCTTTATTATTGGCAGATACGTGTTGGATAAAAAGTGTGTTTTTAACACGTTTTTAACACTATAATATTGCATTGATGTACGTTGGTTTGCAAATATATGAATCTACTAATCCAATTGCAATGAATTAATGTAAGGGTGCCGTCACATACAGCCCGTAATCCGTAATCCGTACCGGAAGTCTGCAAAAGTTACTAGGTATTTCGTCCGTAACGTTACGTGTGTTTTTATCTCCTTGTGTCCCATGGAGCCGTAATGCCATGAAATTTCCGTAAAAATTACTACAAGTTACTAGTTATTACTAGTAATGCTTTTTCTAATTTTATTTATTTAACTAAATTTGACGATTTAATTAAAACTTTTGTTAAAATCATAATATATTCTGTAGTTTTCTTATGAATAAAATATAAATAAACAATTATAATCTGTTAAATAAAAAATAGTACTACCGTTACGTCTGTATTTACGGCTCCATGAGACACAAGGAGATAAAAACACACGTAACGTTACGGACGAAATACCTAGTAACTTTTACGGACTTCCGGTGCGGATTACGGATTACGGGCTGTATGTGACGACACCCTTAGTTTTAGTAGAGCACTAAAGATGTAGGTATTTTCACGTCTGCTCACGTCTCCGCCATTTTTGTTCCATTCACCCACTCCTTGCCCTCTCGTCTCTGTCGTTGAGCTGAGAAGTTTATGATGATTAGGTTATGGTTTCTAAGCTGCTCGAACTCTGTGTTTACGTGTATTTTAATTATCCGACTGTGAACAAAAAAAAGATACAAAATGCCTTGCTGCGTTGCGGATGATGTTCGTCGACAGCAATGGATACGTAATCTCCGCAGAGAGTCTTGGACATCAATCAAATCATTGCGCCTTTGTGAAGTAAATTTATTCTCTTAAATTTCCAATTTACGTAGTTTTTTCTGTTTGTTTAGAATCATGGATCGTTTTTTTAAGTGTAGTTTAGATTTGTTACCGTTTAAAATTACATAAATATGAATAATTGTAATCAATAAGAACATTTATTTCATAAGCAGTTTTTATTTCAGAAACATTTTGAAGAATCACAGTTTGAGACTGGTCGAGCA